CCCCAACCACCCCATGATTCCAGGACCCTCCCACCATTCCAAGCCTCCAGGACACTCCCAGCACTCCCAATCTCCAGCCAAAGCCAATCCACCTTCTCCTGGTTGAAGGCATCCATCCTCTTCATGGCCGTGTCGAAGGCCGTGACCATCTCGAGGAACGAGGGCTCCTGCTCACACAGGGGGTTGGACAGCAGGTCTGAGGAGATCTTCACTGCAGATTTGGACATGGCTGGTGGAAAAGAAACCAGACAGGGTCACATTTCCCACTGCCAGGAGGGCAAACATCAGGGAGCTGAGGCAGCCAGGAGGGGGTCACACAAGCTGGCGGTGGAGGATGAGAGAAAAGCAAGGAAAAGGCACCAATTCATTCATGTAAACAGCCAGAGAAGTGTTTTTATATAAGTTAAGCCTGAAGCACTCCAATGTGAGGCTTGTGATGCTGCCAGAAATAATCCCAGACTAACAAAAGCACTGTTCTCTTAAAAAAAAACACCCAGAGATGGGGGTTTTTATACATCTTCTCTCGACAGACTATTAAGTGTCACTCTCAGCCTCACTACAGCTCTTCCACAACGAGAAAAATCACAGTCCATTAAGTCTTTCAAATGGCTTTACAAAAAAACCCCCATGTATTTGAAGTGGATTTAGTGGGAAAGGACCAGACTGACAGGACTGGGAGACGAAGGTTTCTCTTTCCCTCTCCAAACACAAAGAGCAGGGACACAAGTTAAGTATTTCCCTCTCAATAAGCTGATTTTTTTTGCCTGTGGAGAAGGAGCCAGGGGGAATAGGAAGTCCCTACAGGCCCTGGGAGTGCCACCAAGAAATCCAGAAGCAGCAGGTCATGCTCTGACTGAGCATTCCACTTGTTTTCCATCAGCCACATCCCTCTTTATCCAAACACTTGCTCTGCAAAGGGAAAATTCAATGACAGAGCCACTACACGAATGAGCAAGAAATCAGGGAAGGTACAGAATGGAAAAAAAGACTAATAAAAAGGAAAGCATAAATATAAACAGGGATAAAATAGACTAAGAAAGAAAAAAAAAAGGCCAGAGGTACTAAAAAAAAATGTTCTTTTTCCTCAGTGCTGGAAGCTATTCCAGTTGGAGATCACAAAGCCAGATGCTTGAGCTGTGCTTTGGAGGAGCTTTGGAAAGACTCCCTTAGATATTAAAAGTTAAAATCATCCCAATAATGGGGCTTAAGATCATAAATCAAGGGGTTAAACATTCTGATTGAAAGGTTACACACAATTATACCAGAGAGAGCTCAGAAGCTGCAGAGCTGGGGAGCTCAGTGCAGAACAAGCCTCTCACTCTGGGATAACAAAGCCACTGTATCCATTTATTATCCAAACATGAAGGCTTTGGGCATTTAAACCTTGAAACAGATGGGATAGAATCCATATGTGTGACCACATCTGAGCAGGGATTTGTGCCAGAACAGGACGGAGTTGAGAACAGCACAACTCCTTTGGCTGGAAGGAAAAATGAAATCTTCCTTGACAGGAAAGGATTGGGAGGGAATGGAGGGAGGGAGTGGCAGGGTCACGCTGGGAGGTTGGGAATTAGGGAGGGTTTGGGTGCATTCAGGGGGAATTTGGGGCAGGAATTTCCTCTGCATCAGTGGGATCACCTGAGAGAGCTGAAATAGTGGGGTCTGAGAGTGCCAGGGCAGGAGAGAGAAGGACAAGGACAAGGAGGAGAAGGAGGAAGAGGAGGAGGAGAAAGGATCTCCTGTCCCTCAGCGTGGCCTTCAGAGGGGTCTGCACTGCTTTTTTGCTCATTAAACATGTGAGATGTAACTCCAATTAATTATTCCAAATGAGAGCTTTCACCTCCAGTCAAAGAACATCCTCCTGCTTCTTAAGATCTATTTTGTTTGGAAAGACGGTGGGGAAGGGGTGAGTGCTGTCCAGTCCTGGGGCAGGGAGTGCTGCTATCAGCCCATTCCCTGGCTGCTGGTGCAGCCTGCCTGGGATATTTCTGTGCACAGGAATTCTCCTGTTCTGAACTGAGCTTTTTGGGAAGAAGGTGGAGACTGGAGCCACCAGTCCCACTTTGCCAGCGAGTGAAGAACCAACCAAACCCCTGAGCCTGGAGGAACCAGACAGGAGGGCAAAACTCTGCCATCCTCACCAGATTTGGGGGCTGGATGTTGGGAATGGGCACTGCCAGGACTGATGTGATCCAGCTCCTTCTCCTCCAGCCCTCCCTGAGCAGGCTGTGTGCTGTACCTCTCCCTCCACTCACCATTTCAAGCCTTTAAATGAGAAATCAGATCATCCTGGCTCCGGCCAAGGCTCATTTGTGACTCTGCCATGGAACAGAACGGAAAAAGAAAGTCCTCCCACAGCTCCTCTGGGACTTGAAATGCTCCATATAAACAACGCCCACTGCAAGGGAGGGAGGGGAATCCTGAACAAGGAAAAACTTACCAAGGATCCCTGACAATGACCAGAGTCCTCAGAAAGGGCAGATCTCACCCTGGAAAGGAGTCCTGGGTGGCTGGGGCTTCTCCCAGCCCTCTGCCCGGGCTGGGAAGGGTGGGAGAGCAGGGGAAGGGCCTGGATCTGAGCTTGTGTCAGGGAAT